AGTAGGGAACATGCAGGAGGCAGCCAATCAATGATTCTCTCTCATCTGTGATGTTTCTATCTCTCTCTCTGTCCCCTCCTCTCTGAAATAAAAAAAAAAAATTTGAATTAAAAAATATATTAGAAAACTGAATTCCCTGATACATTGTAAAGATCAGACACCATGATCAAGTAGGATTCATCCTAGGATGTAGGGATGCTTCTACACCTATAAATCAATCAAGTGATATACCACATAAAATGAAGGATAAAAATCATGATCATATCAATAGATGCAGAAAAAGCATTTGATAAAAACTCTCAGCAAAGTGGGGATAGAGGGAACATACCTCAACATAAGAAAGGCCATATATGGCAAACAGACAACTAATATCATACTCAGTGGTGCAAAGCTAAATGCTTTTTCTTTAAGATCAGGAACAAGACAAAGATGTCTACTTTCCCCATTTTTATTGATTATTGGAAGTCCTAGACACAGCAATAAGACAAGCAAATAAGAGGTATCCAAATTGCAAAGGAAGAAGTAAAACTGTCATTTGCAGATGACATACTATAGAGAGAGCACCCTAAAGAATCCACCAAAAAACTATTAGAACTAAAGTAGCAAGATACAAAATTAATGCTGAGAAATCAGTTGCATAACAATCCCACTTACAAATGCATCAAAAAGGATAAAATACCTAGGAGTAAATTTCACCAAAGAAGTATAAGACCTATACTCAGAAAACTAAGACACTGAATTCAGAAAGAAATTGGAAAAGATACAAATAGAGGAGCAGTTTCTATCGAAATACCAATGGCATTTTTCATAAAAGTAGAACAAATAATCCTAAAATTTATATACAACTACAAAGAGCCAAAGAAATCTTGAGAGAAGAATAAAGTTGGAGGTGTCATGCTACCTAATAAACTATACTACAAAACTATAGTAATTAAAACAGGATGGTACTGGCATGAAAACATAGATCAATGGAACAGGTTAAAGAGCCCAGAAATAAACCACACCTATATGGCCAATTAATCTATAATAAAAGAAGCAAGAATATGCAATGGAGTAATGCCACATTCTTTAAAAAATGATACTGGAAAAACTGGACAGACACAAAAGAATAAAACTGTGTCACTTTCTTACACCATATAGAAGAATAAACTCAAAATGGATTTTAAGACCCAAAACCATAAAACTCCTAGAACAGTGGTTCTCAACCTTCCTAATGCCGCAACCCTTTAATACAGTTCATGTTGTGGTGACCCCCAATCATAAAATTATTTCCATTGCTACTTCATAACTGTAATTTTGCTACTGTTATGAATCGTAATGTAAATATCTGATATGCAGGATGTATTTTCATTGTTACAAATTGAACATAATTAAAGCATAGTGATTAATCACAAAAACAATATGTAATTATGTATGTGTTTTCCAATGGTCTTAGGCGACCCCTGTGAAAGGGTCGTTCGACCCCCAAAGGGGGCGCTACCCACAGGTTGAGAACCGCTGTCCTAGAAGAAAGCATAGGAAATAAGCGCTTTGACATTGTCTTAGTAATTTTTTTTTTTCAGGTTGAGAACCGCTGTCCTAGAAGAAAACATAGGAAATAAGCCCTTTGACATTTTCTTAGTAATTTTTTTTTTTTTGGATATTTCCTCTAACAAGAGAAACAAGAAAGTACGTACATCAAAATAAAATAAAAAAACACCTACTGAATAGAAGATACTTGTTGCCAAGGGGTTAAAATCTAAACTACATAAGGAATTCATACAATTTAACACACACACACAAAGGATGGAGGACTTGAATAGAAATTTTCCCAAGAACACATACAGATGGCCAACAGACAAAGGAAAAGATACTCAACATCAGGGAAATGCAAATTAAAACCACAAGGAGATATCTCCTCACACCTATCAGAAGGGTTATCATCAATAAATTGACAACCAAGCATTGGAGAGGATGTGATGTTGAGAAATCCCCTTGAAAACGGAGATTCTACACAAACATGGATGATTCGTGGTGGCTGGTGACATGGCTTCATGTGCCTGAGTCTAGAGTCCCCACTGGAGGGGAGGAAGAACCCAAGAAGAACCCTGTGCTCTGTAAATTGGTGCGGCCACTATGGAAAAAGTATGGAGATTTCTCAATTAAAAATAAATATATGACCCATCAATTCTACTTTCACATATCCAGAGAAATCCAAAATGCTATTTCGAAAAGATGTATGCTCCCCCATGTTCATTGAAACATTATTTAAAATAGCAAAGTTATGGAAACAACCTAAGCATTCATTAATAAGACAAATGGAAAAAGATTGTTTTATACAATGGAATATTACTCAGCCACAAAAAAGAATGAAATCTTAACCATTTGCAGCAACCTGGATGGACCTAGAGGGTATTATGCTAAGTGAATTGTGTTAGATAAAGACAGATACATCTGGTTTTCCTAAATATATGGAATCTAAAAAACAAAATAAATCAAGTTTCATAAAATGCAGAGAGCAAACTGATGGCTTCCAGATGTGAGGGTGGTTGGGGGAATGGGTAAAAAAGGTAAAGGGATTACGTACGAATTGCCAGTTACAAAAACAGTCACAGGGATGTAAAGTACAGCATAGGGAATATAGTCAATAATATAATAACTATGTATGTTGTCAGATGGGTACTAGACTTACCAGGGTGATCACTTCATAAGTTATGTAAATGTCCAGTCACTATGTTGTACACCTAAAACTAATATACTTTTGTATGTCAACTGTAATTGATAATTAAAATTTTTTTTTCAATTTAAAGTATTTTTTAAACTGTAAAGCACCAATGATATAGTGGGCACGGTGGTGGTAGAGATAATATGTAGAAGAGGCAAAGCAGGTAGTAACTTTTGTTTGGCACAGGAGAAGCAGATGTAGGAGAGTGACAAGGAGTAATGAGGTGCTCCAGGTGACTGCCCTCAAACACCTTAGTAGAGGGATTGAAGTGCAATGTGGATGAACTATGTTTTCTAGCAAATTGCCAAACTGTGTTCTTCAGGTTCTGAAATAAAATTTTGCTTTATCTACAGAGAGAAAAAGAAGGAATTGGAACGTGAAGAATTATGGAAAAAATTAGAGGAGCTAAAACTAAAGAAAGCTCTAGAAAACCAGAACAGTGCTTACAACATGCACAGTATTCTCAGCAATACAAGTAATGAATAAAGAGAAACATGCCACCCCTGTGGGATAGGCACAGTTTTGTACACTTTTTTAAAAAATGTAAAAATCATGAAACCTCAACAGTATAATTAAAAGGTCAATTTTTTTCTGGCAACTGTAAATGAAAAAATATATGGACTAAACATAGCCCTGTGCTATATCATGGCCACAGTATATTGTAACATTTGTCTAATCATTGATTTATTGTGTCACATCTGAAGTTTCACAGAAATGAACTTTATCATCTATAATATGAGTGAGATAATTATGGGAGTGGTAAGAATTATGACTTGAATTCTATTTTGATTGTGTTGCACATAGATATAGTAGTCTGCTCTGTATATTTTTCCCTTTTATAATGTGCTTTTCACATTGCTGCAGACCTTAGTTACATCCTGGGAAAAAAGTATTTCCTAAATAAAACTAAGGTATAATCCTTACCTTTCCCTTTGTCCCTCTCAGAAATATGATGGGGGGAATTACCTGCCAAAAGCCTCTCTTCATTAGAAATATTACTGTACCCTGGAATTGGAGCAAAAAACTTAAATCTCCAGGCTTTTTAAAGCACAACTTATAAATAAAAGCTAGGAAAGTAAACCAAATTCTTCAGATTGCTCCTCATGATCCCCCTTATCTGCAACTCCCCAATGATGAGCACAGATTAGTGGGGGCAGCGCAGGTGAACCCGCAGCCTGCCTCCCAGTTCATTCCTCTTCCTCCCCTTCCCCACGGCTGAAGGCAGGGCCCTTCCAGCCCTCAGCACCTGCCCTCCTCCAGTCCCTCCTGATGGGGGCTCCGTGTCCCACAGTGTGGTGACACCAAGTGCTCCTTGCCACTGCCTGGCTTTACTTAAAGGAACTGCAGTTGGCTTCTGTAGCGTTCTAAGAAGGTTGACTATAGGGGTCTTGTATGTTTTTACTTGGTCAAGTATTTCTCATAAATTTTGTTATCAGAGTACCATTCCAATCTCTTAACTTGCAGTTGTGTGGAAAACTGTTTTGTAATGAAAGATCTTCATTGGGGGATTGAGCAGCATTTAATAAAGTCTATGTTTGTATTTTGCCTTATCTCATCACTGCATTTTTTAACTCTAAGTTTAGGCATTCAGAAGAAGCTGCCCCCCTTCATATATATACATACATCATTCATACATATGTATATATATATATATGAAAGTTTAAGGCAAGTTGCAGGATATAGTCTAAAAAATAGGAAGATTGTGCCAGATTGAGTGTTCCAGCCATTTACCAACATATATCTGTTTTACAGAATATTTGCATAAAACCCGAAGTTCTAGGATATCCTTCATGTCCTTTTATGTTCAGAGGATGGATTTTACTTACCTTAAATGTTAGTTTCAATTAAAATAGACCCAGGAGGATAAATCTGAAAATCTGTAGTAACAGTTTTTGTGAGGGGCAGGGAGATTGTAGCAGAATCAGAGGTCAGGCGTTCTCAAAGTTTTTAACGACTGGTGTCTGATTCCACCCTTTCATACCCACGGAAAGCTCTAGCACAGGTTCTGCACACTATTCCCAGGTCCTTGTAAAAGCAACCCCCGTCGCTCTGTGTGGCTCCCGAGAATGCTTCCTTCTCAGTCTGTGGCTCATATTTCATGGTGTTCCCAAGCAGCCACCTTACCTGAGACATCCAGATCACGGTGCTCTTGCCGGACCCTCCACACTAACCCACGGCCAGCCGGCACTGCGGACAGCTGGGGCGGCGCAGACAGAAGAGTGATCCGACTGCAGAACAAGAATGAAAGGCAAGCCTTTCCAGACAGTGAACGTTGGGGCTAACTGTCCATTTGTGGACGGTTTAGGCGCACACGTCTTTTACTGAAGAGCAGCCAGAGTGGACTTGGGCAGGCTGCAGCTAATAGTTGTTAGCTGCTTTTCTTTGATGAGTTAGAACTGCTCACTTCCTAGTTATCTGCTGACTCTAAAGCACAATTCAGAGGTCTCAACTTTCCACAATATAGAAAATTCAGTTTCAGGCTGTTCATTGGAGCAAACTTTATTAGCCATTTTATAAATATTAACTAATATTAAAGTGGTGTGTCATTTTCAGAGATACTTTACGAATACACATCTGGTTTTCAATACTGTTAATGTATGCTTTTATGCCTGGCTTTGCATTTGCCTTACAGCAAGATTTTTAGAGAGGAGACCTAGGCTAAAGTTTGAATTTGCATGCCCCATGGCAGCAGTCGCCAACCGGTGGTCCTTGAGGTCCGAAAGGTTGGCGACCGCTGCTCTATGGCATAGAAAAGCAGCAGGGAATATTTCTGTACACAAGTTCACTTTTAATAATCCAGCCAAAAACCAGCTTCTTGCTGCTAAGTTAGACATGAGATTTTAAAAAAATACCCAGTCACACATTTGAGTTACCTAAAGGCAGATTATGAAATTCAGGAAATGCCACCAAGTTCTCTTTGGCTGCAAAGGGCATGTAAATAATTTAAAACTCTGGAAACAATTTCATAACCTTAAATCAGCCAGTGGCTACCATGTGAAAAATACTCGGGTGGCTTTGTAGAGTTAACAGCTGATTCATGGGGCTTGAGCCATCATTCTTCCCATCAACTGTCCTGCCCACCCTACCCTTCCCTGGGCGCAGTCAGGCCGTACCTCGGGGTCCAGATCCATCCATCTCAGGAGTCCAGGCTCACACCGCCTTCTATTCGGAGGCCACAGAAGGGAAGTGTACTGGTGCCTACTGATTTAACATATTCATACTGGCACACTGATTCCTTTTGTATTAACCTTACTTTTATTTACCTGTTAATGAAATCATCAAAATACATTGAATAGGCACCTAACTCTGTACATTCACACTAGTGCTTTTGCGTGTTAATCACTCTAAACTCTTATACCTGCATCAACAAAAACTCTAACCAGAGAGATGGCTAGTGAGTCCACAGGAAATCTAATTATAGTATTAGCTTTAAAGGTCTCATTTAACATTTAACAAAGGAGAAAACTTGTCAGAGACCAGACGATGGGAACAGCAGAGATGCCAGAGACATAAGGGTGTTTGTCTTTCCTTGTGTAAAGTGCTCAGGTTTCAAAGCGTGACCCACACATCTCGATAGCCACACCCTTGTCCATCCACTTAAAAACCTCGGGGGGAAAAGCCCAAGGTAAACACAGAGCCTTAACAGCCTGTTGTAGCTGAACTACATACCAAACCAGAAAGAAAGGCAGAGTCGACAAACCTTCAGAAACCAGCCCTAGTTCCATCTTCCACAAACCCTATTCATATGTCCTAGGCAAAACTTCCTTAATAATTTAAGTGCTTAAATAACTTGTAGGTTATCCACTGGATCTGTTCCCCAGCGGCTCCTCCCAGCAGGGCCATCTCTCCAGGTGAGTTCAGGAGGACTGGTAGCTCAGTTTATCAAAGTGGAAGTGGTGAGAACCTCCATTAACGTGGGCAGTTCCATGGACAAGGTGACTTCAGCTTATGTGGTTCGTGGCCTGACCTCTTTTTTTAAGGTATCTCTTCCTAATTTTGATCATCCACTTCACACTCAGTTTGGCAAACTCTGCTGCTTTAAATAATGCCAAGAAGGCCCCACAGAGAAGAGCAATTGTGTTCCAAGGATTGGCTGTGATTATCTGTAAGACAGAACCAACTCAAGTTTATTAGTTTGCTTCAGTTTTGAGTCTTAGGTGATACCAGTATCAATGGGGTGACGAGAAAAGCAACTGGGTTCTAAAATTGTAACTCCACACACTCCGTCATACTTTCATGTCCACAGTTCAGTGTGAGGGGAAAAACACTAAGCCCTCCCTACAACACAGCGATTCCGAAAGAAAAAACGTTTTAAAATAGCCATGCACAAGTAAGATACTCAGTACTGAGCTTCAATATTTTTGGGCCCCAACCAGTGACCTTGCTTTAAGACAAATTTCTCCAAAACTCAACCCATAAGAAGAGCAGCTCCTCTTGTTTTCCTCCCCTCTCGTAGTGACTCACACCTCTCCTCCCGCCCAGTCCAGTGGCCGTCCTTCCACACTCCCCTCGGGACCCCTGCCTCCAGGCTATGCCCCCTTCCCCGCCTGTATGCTTTCCTCCTGCCTGAGCTACCAATCCTCCAAGCTCCTCCGAGCCTTTCTCCGTTCACTCAGCCAAACCCTCCAACGTAGCAGATATTTACCCCACTGTCTCCTTTGAGAGGCACTGACTGTCTGGAATTAGTCCCTTCACAGCTACAGGTGGCTCCCTCCGGAAAGTTGGACTCTCCACGGCCGACATCCTATTTGGATTTCTGAATCCCCATCCTGGTACAGAGCACTGTTCAGTCTAGCAGGGCGACCTCAGCCCACCTGAACCTTGGGTGGCTGCATCGCCTCCACTGTTGGGGACTGTTGTGAAGCTGAGTGACAGCGCCAGGCAGGCCTTGAGCACCGGCCCGTTACAAGCACCGCCCACTGAATATAGGTTAAAAATGCCTGCTCACATGATTTACGTGCAGAGCTGAAGGCGTTTACTCCTCTACTCGGAGTCCTGATTCCCAAAGCCTCGCACAAGCCTGGCCAATGCACGGATAACGGTGGTGGTGGGTGGCCGTGGAGCACGCCCGTGTCACAGAGACCTTCCCTGTGTCAGTCCTGGCTCTGAAATGCCTTCCCGGAGCAAGGCCACGCCAGGACATTGTGTGATGAGCTGAACGCCAATCAGTGTTTCTGGGACTGGCTCTGGTGGATGGCGTCTTACGAATGCTCCTTTGGCAAAGCTGTCTCATTAGTGCCCCTTCAGTCTGAGAATCTGGCATTAACTGATACTCTGTTAATTTTTTATTTGTACCTTTCTGTTCTCTCTTATCACAAATAAGTTCTCATCCTACAGACAACCATTTTAAAAGAATGGCTTCCAAACAGCAGTAATTGAAACAGTAGCTCAATGCTTTCTGCTCAGGTCATTCAATTACTATCACCACTGAGCAGCTCCTCTGTGCCAGGCACTGTGCTGGACACCAGAGAAATGATGAACAAAAGACAAAGTCCCCACCTTCCTGGGGCCACAGTCTAGTGCTGCAGACAAGACCAATTAAACACCAATGACACAGACCACGAATGCCACCAACACAACTGATCTGGGCTAGGAAAGGAGATGAAGAGCCTCTCCATCTTAAACAATACTCACATCTTGCACTTTCTGGATGAAAGGATCTTTCCATTCAAAGACCACAAAAAACAGCTGGGCGCTTTTTTCGGCGGCCGGCCTTTGGTCAATGTAGTTGACCACACTCGTCTAGGAACAGAGGAGAGAAACAGTCACCTGGCCAGGGCCACGGGAAAGGGAGGCATGGCCAGGGGGTCTCAGACCGTGGCTCTCCTCACACCATCTTGGGAGGAGAGAGCCCCACATCTCATACGTACCACACCCTGACCCTGGCACCAGAGCCCGGGCCTTCCCGTGGTTTCCATAGTTCCTTGGGGAAACGAGGGGGATTTGGGATGTACAATAAGTGTTTTTGGGTCGTCACTGATTAAACCATATTCAAAGTGTAAGACTGTGTAAGACTCACAATTAAAAGCCACAAAAATCCTAAACTTCAAAACACTCAATCCTAAGAGCTGCGCATTTTAACCTTGGAGTCGACAGGGACAAGCGCCGCCTGGATCCACGTGGCGGGTGTTCCCCGTGAACGGCGAGTGGTGCTCGGGGAGACCTGGCTGCCCATGACGGACGGGACTGCGTGGTGGCAGGGAGAGCAGACAGGAGCCCAGCCGGAAGGGCTGCGCTCAGCATCTGAACTGAGCCTCTGCTCTGCCTTCCTCACTGAGCCCCGAGAAGATCACAGGAAGCAATACACATGAAAGAACCTTAAACTTTAAAACCTGATATAAAACATTTGAAACTGTATTCAAGTTCCTATGCCCTGCCAAAGGCTTCCAACGGAGACTATAATAAAAAGCACATAAAATGTTCTGCAACGTCTAGGCTGGCGGGGTTGGGCCCCTGTGGGTTCAGGTCACGGCTGGGGCCTGGTGGATGGGACGGCACCTCGCTGTGAGGTGAACACGCGAAAGCTCCTTTCTCAGCTGCTGGGCCCAGA